GAGATTCACTATTGGAAGTAAATTGACATGAAGAAGCATGTCTACCTCGTATCCCTAGCGAGTAGGCAAGCTAGATAGTATTTAATGAAAACACATAGGACATGGTTGGTACCATATAAGTGTAAGCTGAATGCCTTATCTAGAAAAGGAAGGAAAATAATGAAAACACATAGGACAAAATACTTTTCCATCATAAACTGAAGGCAACAAAATATATGTTGACGTACATAAATTAGAAAGGCGCAACATGTAATCTGTTTGGCCTAAGATATTTTTGGGTTGTAGGCAGCGCCACCAAGTAAAGGAACACTCTATATAAAGGGCCTTATGAAATAAGAGGCAGTCTACAACCAAGCCATAGTAGTAGAGTATTTGGACGTAGCTGGTCAATAGAAGTAGGTAGTACTCAATATAGCAACCATTGTTAAGAGAAGAAAACCTCTAGAATTTCATGGTATCTTTAAAAAAAATTATTTCGTCCTATTATCTTGTATTAAATACATCTACAAACATCAATGCATAATGGTAAAAAATATTTTATACTAACCGTACACCCCTTAACCATGGACTTTTTTTAATGAATAGTGTGGTCTTTGAATGTTGTCTCGGAAAAGGGTCGAGCACTGGAACATTTTAGTATAAATTTGGTAAAAATAAATAAATACTGAGTTGGCTGGCTAAATAGTAAACTAAATGTGGAATTGAAACAAAATGAATAGAGAACTCAGTATAAATAAAATATGTCCAAGGGAACTGCGTACCTCCTGATCGTTGCTCAAATCATTGCGCCGACACTTCGTAGCTTCATTCCTTCTGAGCTGAGCGGAACCGGGAGCTAGGTTTTCCTGTAGCAAAGATAGGTAGGGTTTGTAGAAAAAATAGATAGTGTTTTTAGCAAGCCAAGGAGAGGAGGAGCAAGAGAGAGAGCGGCTTCACCTGGAGCTCTCGCGCCTGAAGCCGTCGCGTGAGGTTTGAGTCGTGCTTGGTCGGCCGCCTTGGCAAGACCTCGGCGCTGGACCCAGCTGCCCGTGCTTGGGTGGCCTCCACGTCCCGGGCGCCAGGCGCTCGCCCCAAGATCAAGGCTGGGGTCCGCCCGCCCACTTTGCCGCCAACAGCAGGCCCGCCCTAGCTTGCAAGCAGTGTGGTGGGCACCCTCGGACTGTGGCCTTGAGAGAGACAAATGTCGAGATCAAGAGAGGAAGGATGAATAGAGGAGTGGGGAAGGGAGGAAGGATGAATAGAGGAGCAGGGAAAGGGAGACGGGGGCGCGAGCTGCGGCGGCGTGGTGTGGGAGGAGTGGCGGAAGACGGGGAAGGAGAGGCGTCGGGGTCGGGGAGGGAGCCGGTGCGGGGAAAAGCGTGGGAAGAAGAGGAAAGGAAGGCGGATATATATCTGTTTCAATGGATCCAGATCGGTCAGAAACCTAAAGCTGGCGGATTCTGAAGAAGCTACCCCAAATCATAGGGAGGTGAACAAAAGCAGCACGGAGCAGGTAGAAGCTAGGCACAGTAGAATCCGATTGAGCAGATCTGGAATTAGGGATCAATATGATATATCATGTGCAACTAAATAAAATATCATGGTCGTAAGAGTGCTAACACATACGAGAGTGAAATCCATAAGCTTAGTTGAGTTGGTCTACTTTCATTGGTGTAGGTCTATATCAAGGCATACAAAACTTCACATTGTTGTTGAAGAGGCACTACGATGCCAAAACTTCTGCGTGGTTCCTATTCAAGCAAAAAAAAAAAAACTTGCTCCATATTTCTTCAAGACTAACCAAGAACTCTAAATCAAAAGGACAACAAAAGAAACAAAGTTAGCTCAAAGCTGTCAAGACCGAGATTCACTATTAGAAGTAAATTGACATGAAGAAGCATGTCTACCTCGTATCCCTAGCGTAGTAGGCAAGCTAGATAGTATTTAATGAAAACACATAGGACATGGTTGGTACCATATAAGTGTAAGCTGAATGCCTTATCTAGAAAAGGAAGGAAAATAATGAAAACACATAGGACAAAAATACTTTTCCATCATAAGCTGAAGGCAACAGAATATATGTTGACGTACATAAATTAGAAAGGCGCAACATGTAATCTGTTTGGCCTAAGATATTTTTTTAAATGAGGCAGCGCCACCAAGTAAAGGAACACTCTATATAAAGGGCCTTATGAAATAAGAGGCGTCTACAACCAAGCCATACTAGTAGAGTATTTGGACGTAGCTGGTCAATAGAAGTAGGTAGTACTCAATATAGCAACCATTGTTAAGAGAAGAAAACCTCTAGAATTTCATGGTATCTTTAAAAAAATTATTTCGTCCTATTATCTTGTATTAAATACATCTACAAACATCAATGCATAATGGTAAAAATATTTTATACTAACCGTACACCCTTAACCATGGACTTTTTTAATGAATAGTGTGGTCTTTGAATGTTGTCTCGGAAAAGGTCTGAGCACCTGGAACATTTTAGTATAAATTTGGTAAAAAATAAATAAATACAGGTTGGCTGGCTAAATAGTAAACTAAATGTGGAATTGAAACAAAATGAATAGAGAACCTGTATAAATAAAATATGTCCAAGGGAACTGCGTACCTCCTGATCGTTGCTCAAATCATTGCGCCGACACTTCGTAGCTTCATTCCTTCCGAAATGGCCGGGCAAGGAGCTAGGTTTTCCTGTAGCAAAGATAGGTAGGGTTTGTAGAAAAAATAGATAGTGTTTTTAGCAAGCCAAGGAGAGGAGGAGCAAGAGAGAGAGCGGCTTCACCTGGAGCTCTCGCGCCTGAAGCCGTCGCGTGAGGTTTGGTCGTGCCGGTGCGCCGCCAGCAGCCTCGGCGCCTGGACCCAGCCCGTGCCGGCGGCCTCCACGTCGGGCGCTGGGGCGCTCGCCCAAGATCAAGGCCGGGTCCGCCCGCCCCTTTGCCGCTTGCTTGTGTGAGGGCCCTAAGCTAAGCTTGTGCAGTGAGCACCCTCGGCCTGCGGCCTTGAGAGAGACAGCGTCGAGATCAAGAGAGGAAGGATGAATAGAGGAGTGGGGAAGGGGAGGAAGGATGAATAGAGGAGCAGGGAAAGGGAGGCGGGGGCGCGAGCTGCGGCGGCGTGGTGCGGGAGGAGTGGCGGAAGACGGGGAAGGAGAGGCGTCGGGGTCGGGGAGGGAGCCGGTGCGGGGAAAAGCGTGGGAAGAAGAGGAAGCAGAAGGCCGGATATATATCTGTTTCAATGGATCCAGATCGGTCAGAAACCTAAAGCTGGCGGATTCTGAAGAAGCTACCCCAAATCATAGGGAGGTGAACAAAAGCAGCACGGAGCAGGTAGAAGCTAGGCACAGTAGAATCCGATTGAGCAGATCTGGTCCATCGAACCCGAGATCCAACGGTAGATTTTTTTTTAGGTGACGTGGACGGTGGTTCCTTCGGGAAACCACCGCGGGCTTGTTTAGGTAAATTTGGTCTCACTTCTGAGCATGCACGCGTGGCGCTAGTAGATAATAAGGCTAGTGTCTTACTAGAAGGTTTTATATCCATTTTTCTAAGACGTGGTACTGTTGAAAACTGAGTGTATGTTTGGTTGAAATTCGAATTCTCTTAGAAACGTTTCAAATTTAGTATTTTTTTTAGAAAATATTTCCCTGCTAAATCAGAATCTCTTCGTTGAACTGTTTGGCTAGCTCATTGGATTCTTAAAACTAGAGCTAGAATTACGAGAAATCAGATTTTAGGTGTTTCTCTGGAATAATAAAAAATGAGAATCGGTTCTAAGTGATTCTCCATGAAACGTTTCTCTTTGTGTTAACGTTTGACAGCGATTCTAATAAATCTACTAAGAATCTGAAACTTTTCTCGCTGCCAAGCACACAATATAGGAGGTTTCATGTCTCCCGTGGCACTATTGGAAACTCTCCCAATGCACAGTTTTATTTCATTGTTTTATATAAGCTAGCTGCAACATTTAATTTACTCATGGTGTTGTGATCAAGTATGATATGTGAACTCTATGGCCATTTGATATTATTGTAAGTACTATATTATAACAATGTCGCATTGACAAATAAACATTGTAAATAAAAATATATTAATTATCTTCACTATTCACAGGATATGAAATGGAGTCGCATATATGAATATAATTATTGTAGTGGTTTGTCAGTCCCAACTCCCAACTGCTAAAGTTTATTAACAACATGGGCCGGCGACAGCACACATATTTCGGACAGCCGCGTTAGCGTTACACAGATCATTTGGGCTCAGCTCCAAAATTTGAATCTTCCAATTGAACGAAACAAAATATTTCAGTTTAGAAGTTCCAACTTTTCCTAAAAGCAGATATTTCAACTTTTGTAGATCACCGAGTCAAACGAAGCCTGTTTAAAACTTTGCTTTCAGTTTGACTAAGATCGAAATATAGGCTCCGGCTCTATACTAGAAAAGAAATCAACTGATTCAAATATTCAAACCCGGCCGGATCCAAGCCCAGGTAAAAGAGCTCAGGCCGGAGCATGGCCCCCTGCTGCCTACACATACCCTTGGATAAAGAAGAGTGGAGTACAGTGTAGTAACAGAAACAAAAGATTCTGCTCTTGAGCTTGTTGTGGCTATAGTTTTTCATGTCAACATTGCAGGAATCAGACGGCATGAAATGAAACAAAATGAGTCAAAAAAAAAGAAATGAAACAAAATGCAAAACAATCCCATCTAAAATTGAAACAAGGAACCAAAAGGGGAACTGAATCCATAAAATTAAGCAACTCATTATGACAAGTCACATTGTTCAAGACAAGACCATAAAGCAACAACAACAATAGAGACAGGTGCACAAACAACTGCCTTACAAGCACCTCTCGTCTGAAATGGAAGTGCTGTTTCCAATCTTGCTCTTGATTATGCAGGAAACAAAAAAGATAAGGTACAAAGGAAAGACAAATCTCCGGTTCTCATCATCATCCCATCATCTGAGTAAACCAGAAAGTGCGAACCATGAATAAGTCCATGTCCATCCTAGGGTTGCTTCTTCTTCCGGATCCTCTTGCTCCTCCACGAGATGAGAGCTGCAGCTGCTGCAGTTGGACCACCTCGTCTTCGCTTCATTTGCTTCTTTGGCTTCCTCTCCTGCCTCTTCCCTGTGAAGCAGGGCTTCAGGAATGCCCCATGCAGACTGAAGCTGGTGGTGGCTTCTTCCTGTGTTTCTTCTTTCTTGACTGCGATAACAGGGGCAACGCTCTCATCCTCGGAATGTGCCCCAGCTTCTCGCTTCACCGATACCCTTAGCCGCTTGCTTGGATGGCTGATCACCTCAAAATTTTGGTACCCTTCCTCTGCTGCTTGGTTGTCAATCAATACATCTTCAGAACTCTGCGAGTGAAGAAAAAGGATTAGTAAAAAAAGTGGCCAAAACTAAATAAGGCAATTCTAAAAGTTTGTTCATAGTGGAGCCAGGGCGGAGACAAGGGGGGGCAGGCAGGGGCCTGGCACCCCCTAACTTTGCACGATCTTCACTAATACATATCATTAGTTCTCACTAATTACTAAAAATTATACGTAAACAAGTCTTCTCAATCAATTGTAGATTGTTTTTGTCAAATATATCTCTTGATTGTCTAATTTAAGTGTCTAAATAAAATAAATATGGTGTGAGTCTCTTTTTATCTTTAATTTAGACATTTAGCATTTATCTAAGATGATAAGATTAAAGATGCTTTATGAGCCTAGATACTAATTCTTTAATCACCAATAAGGTTTATTATCTGAATTTAAGAAAGTATATTACTGACTATTTGATGCTTACTGGACCACAAAGAACATTAAAAAAAAATGTTATGCTCCTTTGTGCTTCATTTTAGATAATATAGGTTAACATTTGGTTTCATCTCATTTACTTGAGTAGTTACTTATCAGGCCTCTTTTGATTTTGTAGGCATCACATCTCACTAACGAAGATGCGTATAGAAGATCAGTACACAATCATCATCGCTAATTGCTGTAAATAACTGAAAAGATTCATCTAATCTACTAAAAATGTCAACTGCTATATTGGGCCAGTCAGAACTGCCTGAGCCAACCATAAATATAGTGTGACCGAGTGCTTTAGCTTTTGATTGATACAACTTGAAGCTCAAACTACAACAAATCAGTGATGATATGTTCAGTCAAGTTGTAATGGTGTGAGACAAAAGAGGTGTAGAAGCTTACTTCACGGAATTCTCCAATCTGATGTGGGCCTTCAGACAATAGGCTCATGGTGCTTTCAAAAATATCCATGTTGCTAGCTTCTCCATAGCTCGAGAGAGCACTATCAGGCATGGCAGAATCATCCATATCACATTCTGATGTGTCCTGGGGAGATCTCTCATGCAGTCCAGCAACTTTGCCCTTTCCTGGTGAGCAATTTGAGCTCTGTGTACCATTGACCGATGTGTTAATTTTAAGGGTTATTCCCTTATTCTTCTTAGCCATTGCTTGCTTGAGATTTGATCTCAGACTGAATACCCTGTCTTGGGCAGCTTGAATGCTTAAAAGAATCTGCTCAACAGTGGTATCACCTCCTTCAATACCAAGTAGCCAATCAGCATCATTATTTCCTTTCGTGTTGTCATCCGCTGAATGGTCAAGAAAAGATTTCATTAATTTATCTGCACCACTTAATAAGAAAAATAACATATTCCTCACCTAAATAAAACAACTATTGACAGTCAGATTTGAATGTTAGTTTGCAAAATTGAACTCAACTGTAACTGTGACAACAGAAATTTCAATAATTGGGTGACATTACTATGGAAAGTAGGAAATGGAGCTCCCACTTTCTGTGCAGTAATCAATCCCTAGACTAGATGCAAGATGCAGGCAATAGACATCTCTTGTTCCAAGAAGTGTAATAATAAACTTACTTCCAAAGGCATAACAATTAACAAAATAGAGTTGAATATGCATGAAGAAGCAAACAGTGTACTCACTACTTTACTGCCAATAGCCTAATATGCACATCAGGGAAATGATATTTGTTTGCAGTAATTAAGCAATTAACAGCATTACCTAAGTTGGCATTGTCTTCAATAGAATGGCCATCTGCTTCTGTTTTTTCTGCAGGATGGTCAAAATGGGATATCAGAAAGGCTATTCGTATCTCTGCGTGTAAAGTAGAATGCAACTCTTACCAAAATAAGAGAACACGGTATGATTAGAGATATATGATGAAGTATCAATTTTGTCTTCGTTTCTTTTTCTCCTCCTTCGCTTCATAGTCTTCCTGCAGCAAAGAGAGGAGAATGGTACTGATCGTGAGGAGGAACAATCCAACTCAATCATTTTTGTCTGCAACTCCTTCTCATGCTTGAGTACTGCAAGCTCCTTGTCATATTTAGACACTTGAGATTGCAAATCCTTCATCCGCAGTTCTAGCCATTGGCATCTCCACATTAATGGGCTTACATACTTTCTCCAATGATCAGTCACCTTTTTCTTCCTGTGGTACATGATAGAATGTTGTTACGCATGTATTGCCTTCTCTAGAGTAACATGAATTGCATAAGCAGTGAAAATAAAATAATTGACAGTCACATAACATGATTGATTAGAAAGAAAGGCACTGGAAATTGCTCCAAGCAAATAGAAAAGCTGAAAAAGTAGATAAATTTAATGGCATATTCTTCTGATTATAAGTGTCAACCAAACTCATTCTGGAAGGCATCAGCTGCTTGCAGTTGTTGAAAGAATCAGTGTTGGTATATTCCGTAAGGGTGCGTTTGGTTTGATGGATATCCCTGGATGGGAGATGGCAGTCTATGGACAAGCGGTGTTTGGTTCGCAGGCGAGTTGGATATGGATATCCCTGACAGCGGAATAGCATAAGTGTAAGTTGGATACAGGGACCAACCCTTCACTTAGGGCTACTTTGGCAGCGCGATTTCCTGCCGGGTTCCCCGTGATTTCCCAGGGCGAGAAACCAGCGGGGCGGTATCTCCCGTGCCAATCTTCCGCGCCGTTAGGAAGCTCCGAGGACGCGGAATTTCACCTGCCTTCCCCGTGTTTTTCACGCGGCAGAATTCCACGAGGCAAGAGGCCGGGAGCGCTTCCCCGTCCCAGCTGCCCCTCGAGGCCTCGACTCACGACACCACCAACATATCCATCTCCACAGCCGTCAGCTTCCTCACCCAGTGCACTGGCCAACGGGACGGCCCTGCTGCCGTCCAACTCCTTCTCCAACTCCTCGACCCCGCTGACCTGCGCGGGCGCCTGCGTCGCCCTTCGCGCCGGTGCCCCCGATCGCGAGTGCGCTCCCCACGTCTGATCGACAGGGCAATGCCGGCCTCCACGACGCTCTCCATCTCCAACGGTCTCCAACGTTGCTCCCAGCGGCCACGGCCGGCGTGGCGACGCCATCCTCCGTAACGCCATCCACCGGTCTCCAGCCCTCCAGCGTCGCGCGAGATGCCACCGTGCTGGTGCCCCTGACCGCTGCTGCGCTCCACGTGCTGATGTCGGCCTCGGCCTCGCCGCCGCCAGACTCCAGCTTTGGGCTCTCCATGCGTGTCGTGGTGTGGATCTCGGTGGGCTGCCGTTGGATCATTGTTGCAACAACCGCTTCGATCCGGTGCCTCTTCAGGAGCAAGAAGAAAGGCCAAAGTCTACTTGATTTTTTTTCTGATTTTTAACACCATTTTTGTTGCCCGTGAATTCTGCCCCTAGTTTCCAAATAGCGACAGAGAAAAAAACCACCGGTGGGCAAGGTACCCAGGGAAATGAATTGCCATTAAAATCCCCTGGGGGGCTTTTCTTCCCCGGGTCATGCTCCCTTTCCTTCCAAAGTAGCCCTTAAGAATTAAACCAATCCCATCAGGTCTTACATATACTAGTTCTGTACCACTAAGACATTTTGCCAAAATCATTCCATTTTGATAACAGTAGAGGAAAACTGAAATACTGTATTGGGCATAATATATGTTGAAAGACATTTTGCAAATATACGCAAGGAACTTTATGCTGATCCAACCAAAAAATTCCTTTTTGTCCACACACTTCAACCTTTAGAGGTCATTGCACGTAGACTTAAACAGTTAATAAACTACATGCAAAATGTAAGTTATCTCAGATCATGCACTTCCCATTGTTTTCTACTTTTCTGTAACTATTTGAAAACCTAAACCAGCCTGTCTAAACACAGAATACCAATCTGAGCTGCTCACAGATTGTTTAATCTCTCATTGATACAAGAACCAAACAATTGTTAGTGTTAGGCATATTGAGGTTGTTTTTGGCTTGGCCCTGAAGCTGGGGTTCTTTTGTGGGACCCCAAAAAACTACTCAAAAGCGAGGCTTAGATGAAGCCCAAAGCACAGAATTAAGTATGGGAGAGAAGCACCCGACTGAGGCTCATAGCTTCCCGGCAGCCAACTTCTACGCTTTTCAAGTGAAAAAAGATCATGTATTGTTATCCATTTGAAATAACAGTTAATAACGACAGAACACAAATGCAAGAAAGTTTATTTAGGAAAGGCAACGTATCAGGTGCAAACCAATCAACCTGTGCAAACTTGGAAACTACAAATCAGGACCACTAGATGTTGATCCAATGGATGTGGTGAGAGGTGGGATTTTTTTGCGCTTAAGCCCCCCACCCGCTGGCCTTTTTTTTTGTGCTTAAGCCCCCTCACCCCATCCATTGGATCAGCATCTAGTGGTCCTGATTGGTAGTTTCCAAGTTTATACAAGTTGGTTGGTTTACACCTGATACGTTGCCTTTAGGAAAACCCCCCAAGGTCAGATCTTTCAAATAAGAATTAAAGATAATAGATCTAAGAATGAATGAACACTTCAAGAATAACGGCAATGTAGTAGATTCCATACGGCATAACAATAAAACCTCTGCATTGCCAGAGTTTGCATTATGCCCAGTCAATCAATATGCAATCACCAACTATAAAATCAACTGACTTAAGGTTTATAAGGAAGGCAGGAAAGAAAGGCTGAAAGTAGCATCAATCACCCAAGCACTTACTTCAATAGTCTATCCAAATTGTCTGAAGCAGCTGCATCCAGTAGAGCAGCAGCATCACCATTAGGAGGATAGCGGCAGAACGGCGAGTCCACCTCGATGTCGCTAATCTCTGAAGGCCTTGCATCATCCTCCGATCCTGACAGAGTGTCCCCAAAGGAACTTGAACACTCTGTGGCGTCAGGGTCCTCAACTGAGGCTAACTTGCTACCAACAGCACCTTGGCCAATAATGTCAACCTCCAGATCCACAGTTCCATTAGCCTCCTCCATTTTAAACACAGGAGCAGACTTCATATATACTGCTGAAATGAGAAGGCAGCATTTTTAACAAAAAATAATAATCATGAGATGACATTATAATATGACATGTAAAGCCTAAGGGTGAAACAAAAATATTAACCCCAAGTGAATTCACTTGGCACAAGAGGAAGGTTACTGGCCGCCCGCAGGATTTTCTGAAAACTACGTACACTAGTTTGCAACTACCTGGAGCTCGCAGCTCGAAGGACTGAGCAACGGCGGTAGGGACGGCTGCTGCTCTGGTGATGCGAGAAAAACAGTGGCGCGGGAGCCGTGGCCGTGTAAAGGCGGGCGACACGTCCGTCCTCAGACCTCAGCTACCCTCGGGCAGTGGCGACAACGCGCCAAGGCGGCCGAGGGCACCAGTTTAGGCGCCATCCACGCCGAGGGAAAGCAATGGCGGCGCCAGCAGCCCGGGGCAGAGCCGCCAGGCTGGCGCAGTCGCGCAAAGGACAGGGGCGGCCGCGGCGTGGGCGGCAGCAGTACTAGCGCTTCCCAGGCGGAGCCCACGTCCCTCCCCGACCTCTGGGCTCTCTCGTTCCTTGCCTCTCAGGCTCTCAGCTCACGCGCGGCGGCGGCGGCGGCTGCTTAGCACGGCGAAGGGATTAACTCGCGGGAGAAAACAAAAGAGCTAACCAACAAAAAAAAAATACAGAGTCACAGAGAGACAGCACGAGTAACTGAAGGCCGCCGAGGTGAGGGGAATCGAACCCTAATGGGCTTTTGAGATGGGCCTCAGTGGGCCATATAAGTGGGCCTGGTGCGACATTCCCCACGATCCTTCTCACGCTTTTCAAATTACAACATCCTTTCCTGTGTCACGACTGACGAATGACGATTCTACTAAATCCAAGCAGAGTCCTCTAAATTGTCAGGTTGGTTGCCTGGGGCCTTTGCAGAATCACTAGAAACATTGCAATTCCTGCAGGAATCGCATGTAGAAATGCACTGTTTTTACTAATGACCAACTGAATCCAACAGCAGTACTGCAATAGACTCTGAGCAGGATGAACTACCATTCCCTACAACAAGCTGGATACTGTAGCCAGCTGCAAACGCATTGCATAATAGTACTGTAAAAATCCTAGTTTAAGCAAGTCACCTGTGATTTTGACCACATCGTAACATCAGCTCATATCACCTGTCTATCAATCAAGAAAAGGCCTGCTGGCTCAGTATCCTGGATGTCAGAAGCAAAAAGAACACCAGATACCTCAACACCAGTACACCACTGAAATCTTTTTTTTTTATTCCAGAGGCCACACGCCGTCCTAAAATATCACACTGAAACCTTTTTTTCATCAACGCTGCAAATCGCACTTAGCTCAAATAATCCTAAACCGAGTAAACAACTGACAGCACCACCTGGTACATCAAACTACTCTGAATAAATCAGACACGACGCAAGCACGAACCGAAACGTGATAGGAATTGAAACCATCAATCTAGCGGGCTGGCCAAAGAACCTCAATTGATGCAGCAGCGCTAGCTAGACGCGAAACCGAAATAGCTAATACGCCATTGATGCCCCAACCGGGAGAAGCTAGAAGAGCATCAAGCGACCCACCAACCCATGAACTCACTGGCTCCACGATGGCAACAAGTGAGAAGCGGTGCCTAAAGCCATGCTGGCGGCGCGCCACCATGTCGCAACTAACTAAAGTTTCCGGCTTTCCGCTCTCATGTTCTACCACCACCCCGCGGCGGCGGTAATCCTATCAATACTGGAGAGTTAAAAGGACAACGCAGGTACACTGGAGCCCTGCGGTAGAGCCTCTGACGCGCGCGAGCGCCGAGCGAGACGGGAAGGGATCGGCGCTGACCGCCGCGACGAGCGCCAGCCTCCACTTGTCTTCAGGCAAGCGCGCCCGACGTTGAGATGATTCCAGGCAATAGAGGCGCGGGAGAAAGAGATATAAGTACCAGGGAAGGAGCAGGAACGCACCTGCAATGGCGGCAGCGACGTCTGCTGAGGCGCCGGCGGCGGCGGCGGCGAGAGAGAGGCTTCGAGGCTTGGCTGCTCGTTTGGGCGCCGCCGTCAGAGAGGAAGCTGGAGCGAGGGAAGGACCAGGTTTTATTCAGTTCATCATCCTTCATCGGCTTACATGGGCCGGGCCGGGCCAGGCCATGTCTGCATTGGAACCAAAAAATTTATCAGTCCCATTTTATTTAGGAATGGACCATCTGCTCAAAAAGAAAAAAGAAGAGTGGACCAATTTCTAAGGGCTTGTTTGATACATGAGCTAATTACTAGCTACTCCATCCGTGCCAAATTATAAGTAGCATTGACTTTTTTGGTACAAACATTTTGCTATGTATCTACTCCCTCCGTTCTAAATTATAAGTTACTTTAACTTTTTTGGTACAATCATTTTGTTATGCATCTAGATATAATAATATGTCTAGATACATGACAAAATAGATGAACTAAAAAAATCAAAGTGACTTATAATTTGGAACGAAGGGAGTAGATATAATAATATGTCTAGATACATAGCAAAATGAATGAACCAAAAAAGTTAAAGCGATTTATACTTTGGAACGGTTGGAGTAGCTACTAGTGGCGAACTGAGTTGGTTAGATTCCTTATGGTGGAACCTGCCCAACTGGGTTCAAGGCGACGTTCCCCCTCTCTAATTGCTATATTTGGATTGGTGATAGATATTAATAGTAGATATGCATGTGACTATTGCCATTTTGAGAGTTTGTATATCTTGATTTCCTTATAATTTGGAACAAATTTGAATGTTAGATATCTTATATTATAGGATGGAGGGAGTACGAGATATGAGCTAGGTTTTTTGGAATGATTAGCCATGTCATTTAAGGAGGACAAGCAATTTGAGTTTTACAATAGTTCTTACATAATAGCAAGAGACTAAGGCCAGTCTGAGTTCATCCACATTTAATAGGATGAAATCATGCATTAAGGGTGATTGTTTTATCCGTGTTTTATTGCATTTTATCCGATATGGCATTTTTTAGAAGCTCTCCACTGAAATTAGCCTAATAGACTTATAACACATGAGCCTCTACGACTTGGATACCTACACACCTTGCCTCCGCAGCACCATCTCTTCCTCGGTCTACATGACTATCTGCATTGGAGTTTTCACAACTCCTTTAAAAAAATTGTCCTATTCCACTCCATCTAATGTACAGTAAGATGGTATCCATGTTCTCTAAAGTTGCTCGCTCTGACCATAAAGTGAAGAAGCACACCGATGCTCCAAGGTGTGATCATCTTCAGAGTGAAAAATATTCATTTTACCTCCTTAAAGTCTGAATTTTCTCCTTAAACTCCAAAACTAGACATCACACCGTCAAATTCTCAAAATCGTTCAATTTACCTCTCTGTCTTGGTTTGAAATGGTTTTGTCTTTAAAATGTCTCTAAGCTTATAAAAATTCCAAGAAAAACATAAGATAGATGGGATATAATGAATCCGAATAAAATATTTTGAGCTTGTGAAATATACAAAGAAGCTTCAAAAATTAGACTTGGCTCTTGAAAAAAAGTATCCTGAAAAAACTAGAAAATCCCCCAAAACATTCAAATCGATGTCTTTTAAAATATTTTCATGGCAAATATATGAGATGCAATTAGCATGGATGCAACATACATTAATGTTGAATGCATTTTTGTTGGTTACGTCTTACCTTTTTTGTTATGAAAGTTTTCAAAATGTGCTTATACATCAGTAGAAAGTTTTGGGAGTTTTATAGATTTTTATCCCTATTTTTCGTATTTTTCTAGATCTAAACATAGTTTTTGGAATCTTCTAGAGATAAATTTAATGAGCTTTCAATGCTTTTTGGATTTTTTGTATCCCAATATATCTCTAGGATTTTTTGAAGTTTTAGAAGCCTAGAGATATTTTATATAGTTTAAAACCTTTATCAAGTATTTACCAGATTTTTTTTTAAAAAAGGCAAAGTTGCCTTTAAATCCACTTCAAACTAGGGTAGGAAGGTAATTTAAATAATTTTGAGAGCTCATGGTGTGATATCTAGGGATGAAAACGGTCGGAAAAAGCCTATAACCACTATTGATTTCACATTTTTATTGGGAAACGAAAAACGAAATTAGGAAAATTTGTCAGGAAAACAAAAACAGTTATGTCGAGAAATCAGGAACGAAACAACTCAGTCGAGAATATATCGATAATGATCAGGAACAATAATTCAAATAGAGGACACGAACAAACATGACCACTTAAAACATTCAACTCAATGCAACGGATACACGAAGATAGTACTATATATACAGAGGTAGATAACACCATAAATTCAAAAACATACCATGACATATTGACTCTAAAATAGGTTCAAGTTTGAGTACTCAGATCAATTTACATCATGACACATGAATAATGGAAAGAAAAGACAATTAACAAAAAAAAGTAGATGTTAATTAATATTTAGGTTGATAAAGCCATGTGTATGTAAACAAATCCTTTAGTTTTTAGATCTTGTATTAGAAAATAATTTTAGATGATTAATAAATATATTTAGCAAACTTTTGCATAGAGAAAACAACTAGTAAATGAGAGAGGAAACCTTGCTACTCTCTCCTTGCTTGGAGAACGAAACTGCTTTGATCCTCGGGATAATAAGCCTGTTCGTTTGGCTGTGACTTATCGTAAACGATCGTAAATTTTCAGTCGGAATAGTATTTGTCGGTGTTTCGTACAAGCACCGGCAAGTAAATTTATAGTAATGCGCGTTAGGCTCGGATGGTGCGCTAAAGGACACAAGATTTATACTGGTTCGGGCTGAATATCTCTACATCCAGTTTTGTGCTGCTCATGTTATTAGCACCGTGAATGGTTCGTAGTAGGGGATACAAACGATCGAGAGAGGAACAGGTCCCAAGTCTTTGATGGAAGGGTCGAAAGAAAGCCAAGAGCTTGGTAGCAGCTTGACTATATGTGTGTGTTGCGTTGTTTCCGTCCCCCTCTACTGGAGGAAGTGCATCCCCTTTTATAAATGAAGGGGACGGCTTTACAAGGGTCAGGGCTTAGAATCTGTGCTCTACCTAGCCTTGTGGCTTACTTCTACCCAGCCTCGTTACCCATTCTGATGGGTGCGAAAGGATGATAAGCGCCTACAATACTGTCGATGCTTCTGTAGAATGTTAGGATAGTTACAGAATAGTGCCCTGCGCAGGGTATGGGCCGGAGTACAGTGGTTTTGACTTATGGACCTCGCCCAGCCTTGCTCCACACGCCTTCTGGCTCCTATGAGTCTCTGTCGGAGGGACGCGGAGTCGAGGTCCGGAGTAGCGCTGTGGGCAAGGTCCTTTGATTTTGTGGACCCGAGGGGTCAGAAAGCGGGCGCCGCTCCCTTGGGTCCATAATGTGGTGACGGCATGTCCGTCATTCGTGGAGATCACAAATTCTTTTCTGGAGTGTAGTGGTTGTCGTGTATCTTCATCGGGTTCCGTGTCCCAGAGCTAAAGGCGGCGCCTACAACTCTACAGGGCGAGGGAGTACGCGCCTGCAATACCTCTTGGGCTCTGCGGCGCACGGGAGGGTCTAAAGCACCTGTCCAGTCGTTCCCTGGCAGTACCTTTCCTACCAGGGCGCAGGGTATGGTCCTTGAAGCCGTGGTTGACCCGAACGTCTTGTCATGCTCTGTACCCATCATCACGAGGGAATGGGAGAGAAGTTATCAGGTAAGATAAAACCAGCCTTTGGACATCGAACGGGGTAAGGTTCGTCCTTGGTCATCGGGCGAGGCAGAGCCCAGTCCTTATCCCTTAGGCGTGACCGAGCCCACCCCTCGGGGGTCGGGCGAGGCGGAGGCCAGCCTTCAGCCCTCGGGTGAGGCGGAGCTGTCCCGAAGGCGTCGGGCGGAGGGCTCGCCCAAAGGCGTCGGGCGAGACGGAGGCCAACCCTTTGTCCTCGGGCGAGGCGGGGCTGGCCCAAAGGCGTCGGGCGAGTTCGTCATTCGGGCAAGGAACGCAGCGGCGCCCTTGTCCGTCCAGAAGTTTTTAACGTTCGATGGTTATTGGTTCCACCTTCTGGGGTACCCTGGTATTAGGTCCCCGACAGTAGCCCCCGAGCCTTCAGGTGATTCGGATAGAACCACCTGGAGGGTGTTTTTCGATTTCATCGGAGTCATTTTGCAAGAGGGTGCGCGCGAGCGCACCCGATGGGTGTAGCCCCCGAGCCTCTAGGTGATTCAGATAGAACCGCCTGGGGGTGTATCGGACCCTTCGCGGGCAAGGCTGAAGGACTTGGTTTTTTCGTCAACTGGATATTTTTTTGAGGGGGTCGTGGTATCTCGTTCGCGGGGATCTCATTCAGGGCTGTCCTAACTGGGGCTTGACCATGGATTGAGACCCCGGTAATGCTTGCGCCCTTGATTTCGGATCGTTCACGGACCCGCCCTTAGTTGGGCCGGCCGCCGAGCTTCTGGGCCCTAGGTGGGCCAAATAGAAAAAAATATTTGTGACCTGCCTTCCCCAGGTGGGAAGAAAGTCCGGATTCGCCTGGGGAAGGCGAACCGTCCACCATGATTTTCGATGGGAAAGGATAGGGACTGCGGGCGTGTGTCCCGTGACGTGACGCGGCGGTGCGCGTGGCAGGCCCGGAGATCGAGGCGGACGGTTGCCCTTCTCGCACCCGTCGCCCCTATAAAAC